TGATTTATGTCGCAATAATCACTATTGATGACGCGACAATATTTATTACGAGCGATGATACGAGTGATGAGCACAGAGAGAAGCTTGGACGCTAACAGAACTTATCAGCATTCACACGAGCACACAAGTAGAAAAGAAAAACAAGAGATTAACAGATTATTTACATACCGAGCAATTGGTGACATCACCTCAGTCAAGTATGACAACAACTTGCACTAATGACAAATTATAATTTAATGAGTCATGCATGTTTTAATACTGAATATTATTTAATCTCCTATGAATGCTGATTGTACATGTAAAACTGATCAACATGGTATGTAAAAGTAATCCCGAAATACCGGCATAATAACAATTGAGAGGTTACGAAGGCAAAAGTTATGAATGATAGTTATTTAACAGGTTGTAATATGAGATATATTGAAATATGTGAAGAAAAATAATACCTGAATTACCAATTATGTAGAACTTCTTGGTAAAACACTAAATGTAATGAGTTGAGCACAATTGATTAGAAAATGATTGTAGAGATACACAATGCACGTGTTGTTGAGTACAGCGTGTGGGTTTGTTATGGCGGTTGGCGCGCAAGCAGCTGTTGACTTCGGGAGATGACTTGCAGAGTGCGCGTCAGTCGCCGCATCTCTGGTGAGGTTGAATGCGAACTTACCACATGTTCTGGCGCGAACATATGGTATTTACGCAACAGAGAGTATTTTTGAATCAACATTTTATTATCTTGTTATTTAAACATTGAATATTTTTGACACAAATTCTATTTCTTTTCGAATAAAAGATTTCTATTTTACTTACTCCAAAATGAAAAAATTGAATGTTGAAGTATGATACCGTCTTTTTTTCACGGTCTAGGCCGTAAAGTTTTACTCCCTCTTCTTTTTACGAACTTTTCGTGTACACCCAGACGAAATTGAGAGAGATTGTAAAAAAAGTCACATTCTAGCGTACCGACCGATAATTTTTAGTCAATGTTAAATTTAGTTACTGTTGAGTGGCGCTAATTATTTCTCTGCTGACAGTTTATTATGAAGCGGACCTAATGTTAATAAAATAACAACAACGCCATAAATAAATACTAATAAAAATTTATTTCCATTTTCTGGACGTGAGCAAGATTTTAAGATTAATAAAAAGATAATTAATATAAAATTAATTTTTTTTGCCCTTGTGAAACTTCATAAAATTTAAATATGTCATTATTTGCCTCTTACCCCTCAAAAGTTAAATTTATGGAGCGATATAATAACAAAAAATATTGTATGTCATTCGGCCGTGTAGTGGCGATTTTGACAACGACTTTTTTTCGATATTGGCTTTAATGTTTGTGACGTGAATGTTCGAAAACGAGCGTAAATTTCCGTCCTCGGCTACGCCTCGGACGTTAAAATTACGCCCTTTTCGGTCCTTCCCGCCCCAAACCTTAAGCTCAGATCGAAATATCATCGCTGTCAGAAAACAGCCACTTCACGGCCTTATGACATAAATATCTATTTTCGAATTACACCAAAATTTCTAATCTGATCAATTTGTATTTGAAAAGATATCATAAAATTTGAAAAACTGCGTCGAATGCCGCCGACCGCGTGAAAATCGGTTCATTCATTCAAAAGTTATTGCGGTTTGAAAATTCAAAAAAATAGTGTTTTCTGCCCTCCGGCCGGAAAGTGGCAACTTTCTGGCCGCTGCGCTAAACAAAGTTGCCCCATTTCGGCTACGTCGAGCAGAAAAATAGTATACACACCTTGGCCAGTAAAAAATAAAGCCTCAGATCACATGTTTGTCAACCTCGGCTTTGCCTCGGCCAACAATTACATGTGATCTGAGACTTTTCTTATTTTACTGGCCTAGGTATGTAATATACTATTTATTAATTGAATACCCTTTCTTAAATGTACCTCCATTTTTAATATGCGTAGGAAAGAATTCTAATCAGAATATTAAAATTTTTTATTAATTCTCGTGCTCATAGATTTATAAATCATACATTTATACCACTATAATTTCATTATAATATTCTCGCATAGAGAAAAACATTATTTTTGATAAATAGCACACATAACAAACTATACAGTTTCAGGAAATAATTTTCCAACGTTTTGTTCCTGTGTCTGATTCGTATGACAAGTTTAAAAATAAAATACTGTAAAAACAAACAATTTATTCAAGATTTTACTTTTAAGAAAACTAAAACAAATAAAATATATTTTATTTATTTATTTGTTATCGATATTCGTTTTCCAAGGAACAACCATTTCTTATTTCCGATACCATGGGTTGAGTTACGATCTACGATGCAGACGACCATTTTACCCTCTATCTACTCCTTTCCTATAAAAAGTTGTTCTTCTCTCTTTTTCTATCTTCGGGAAGACGAACTGTACAATCTAGCGGCCTTAGACCACACCCTACACCTTTTATAACTCTCTTTCTCTCCTGCACCCTGCACTTTCTTTCGTCGACGGAATGATAGCCGCAGTAGATCCGGGTCGCGCGTAAATTTCCGGAATCTTAGGGTGATTTATCGCTCACCGCGATATAGGTTGCACACCGGAAGGATTTAAGCCAGCTCGTGGCCGTCGAACAAGTGTGTGTAAGCCTTCCTCGTGTGTTCCACTTTCTCTTACTGCTATACATCTGGTACTATCATGCTACTGATGTTGGTATTATTATCATTGTACACAGCATGATATAGTGCCAGTGTAACCTCAACAACACTTTGGGAATGAATTTCTTTAAAATCGATGCTTGTAAACCGCCAAAAATGATAAATCCCAGTATTAACCTTTTTTTAAATCGGTAGAGCTATTAAATACTCATGTCAAATACAACGTGGATAGATGACATTAAACTGCAGCAAATCCGGCTAAAATTTATCACGTAAAATCTCGTTTGATGACTCAACCGATAAAAAACTACGTACATTCGTGGAAATGTGATCGTGAAATTTATGAAGCTCTTCATCAATCAGACAAAAGGGGACACTTGAAATTTATTAAACCCATCAAGATATTAAATCAGAGATTGTTCAAACCTTTATAAACTTTTTTTTTACCGTCCAATCTCGTAACTTAAACAATGAAATACAGACAAAGTTAACGAAAAAAAAATACAAACAAAGAACAAAACAGAGATTTTATTGTTACTGCAGGGATAAAAAAAAATTTACTTGCAAATATTGTCTTGTGTTTTAAATAAATGTACCATTACTCTGTATTTTTATAGCATTCTTTGTAACTACTGATCCTGTTGAACCGAAAGCTTGCAGCAATGTTTTTTTAACAAAGAAGAACGAGAGATCGAGTTTGGGTGCTCACACACGAACGTTCGCTGCTGCAACCTCTCTCGTTCTCTTCAGCTTTCATTTTTCCTCTCTCGTTCTTTTCTCGAAGGGGAGAGCCCTCCCCCCCCCCCCGCCATCTTGAACATTCACTCAGCCTCAGCCTACTTGGGATTTGCTAGCCAAACAACGCTATGATAACAAATCGAGAATCGCGAGTAGAGCATTTACGCGAGTAGTCTGCATCAGCTTTCGCTATTTCAATCTCTCTCGATTATTCGAACACCGAAAATTTTGTTGACTAAAATAAGTTTTCAATTTAAAATATCTTTCTTAACACTATACATATTATATATTATTCTAAATGATGATTTAATATTTGAGTTGCTGAAAATTTGTTTGTTTGTTTTCCTCTCGAAAATATATTTAGGATGTGCATGCTTTCAACAATAGCAAACGTTGTTCTAAGTAAATATCAACGACTTAAATTGAATTTTTTTTAACTATTCATATTAATACAAATTTGTGAGTTTTGTAAGTCTTATACAAATCGAAGTATTAAGGGCCAATTTTTCAATCCGAGATAAAATTTTATCATATGCCAATAAATATCTATATATTTTATGTTTATAGATGTACTGGCAATAATAATTTTATCCTGGATAAAATTTTATTTCGGATTGAAAACCTGGCCCTAAGTGCTGCTCAATATTGAATGTTAGGTTTTAAATAGATACTTTTAGAAATGTCAGTTTATTTTAAACCATTACTCATAACTCATAGAATGGATATTATACAGAAAATTTAATGGTAAACTTGCGGAAACATATTTCATGTACCGAAAAAATATCGCTGTTACTTTTAACAAAAACCTTTAACATTAATTCTCTTTGAGTTATATGGACAATTAAAGTTCTGAAGACAGATATCTTATGAAAGTCATAATAAAATAGAGAAGAATGTAAAAAGTGGTTGTTCCTGCGGGTCAAACTTTCTGATGTTTCTGCGCTCGGATAAGAAAACGTTGTTAATATTACATTTTGAGTACTTTGAATTCCGAAAAAGTTTTTATTGGAAGAAAATCCAGTAAAAGAATTTCTTGAAATAGCCCTATATGTCCCGATATAATTTTTGACATCTTCTGATATGGTTTGATATGCTTTTATATAATTTTTCGATCAAAGGTAGTAATGGAAATTTCCGACGGAGGTTTTAAATTTTGAAATAAAAATAATTTTTTTTAACTTACTTAAGTAGTTGATCTTAGTTTTGTTTTTAGTTTAATCAATTAATAAACCAATTTTTTATGCAAAATTGAGAAACTAAGTCGATAGCGATAAGTTGGATGGCCAGAAATTATCATAATAAATGTAATCAGGAGAGGAAAAAATTGATGGACCCAATTTTAACTACCAGTTATTCACGAGTAAGAATTTTTGCTTTAAGATCCAATTTTTTATTGTTAGGAAACTATCAATCATTGTACAAAAAGTCGAGAGAGCCCGATATGGGGCTTGGAAAAGAAGTTTTCCGTCGACATTGTTCCTATGGTGGCAGGTAAGTCCTAAAAAGGTACAGAATCTTAGTTGCTGAGATTAAGTACCCACACGCAAGAGACCCTGGGGTCTTAGGGTTAATGCCAGCGTAATTGTCTTTCATAAGGGGTTTTATTGAGTAGAAATGGGGGCACTCATATGTATCACCGTTATGGGTCCAGGTCGGATTCTTTAGGCAAACGCGAATTTACCTGCATAATTAATACCTGCATAGTATCAATTAATGTAAAGCGTGAATTGTGGAGCAAAAATTTAAGTTTTTTATATGAGAACATATAAATCTATTATATTTTTGTCTGCGTCGATAAATCGTCATACTCAAATACATATTCTCATAGATGAAAATATACATGCCCCAAAGAGATATGTTCATAATAAGTTTAAATATAAATTATATAGACGCATGTATATTTTTTCAATGTCGTTGATTATATACACGGAAAGAAAATTAAAGAAATTTTTACAATTTTTTTATTGTAATTTATATTTATCTTTTATAAAATTGTATAGCGGAGGACTATAACTTTCCATATAATAATTTTTACGATAGGCTAACGTAAATTTTATTAAATAAATAATACTAGCTAGAGACTTAAGAAGTCCAATACTATAGAGCAAATTATACTAGATATATTAGTGAACTCTACAATTTAAACAATCGCAAAAATTGACAGTTGGTTTTTTTTAGAGAAATTTTAGGGAGAGAGAAGGATAGGAAGTTAGACTCATTGGTAATTTTGCAGTGACCGAAAAAACAAATCGGCATTTTCGTCCGGGAATCGAACCCAGAACTCTTATTTGGTAGCAGAGACTCTCTCTCTCTCTCTACGCTAACTGAGGTAAACTACTACGGATGCCCTTCAGCACTTACATAAACTCGAAGTCTAGCGCTATGCACGGCCAACACTCACACTAATTGAGTAATATTCCAATTTACCTATCGGAAAATTTGTTACTTCTGTTGGAAATATACAGACGCAGCATTGGAAAATTTAGAAATGATGAAATCCCGATAATAAACTGTAAAAAACTTATTCTCAACAGTAAATTTTCGTCTAAAATATTTGAAAGTAATCAGTAATACAAGTATAGTCCAGCATTACAATAGTTGTATTGAAAATTTTCGTAGAATTTGTTTGTTGTGTTGTTCGACTAAACAATATATGTGGATACATACTCTCTTATACGAACAAATATTATCATGACCGGAAGAGATATGTTCATACATAAAGCATGTGTGATTGCAAATGATCACTCAATGGAAAATAATGTATTCCCTATTACATCTTTTGTAAATTTTTAAAAGCATCATTTGAACATGACATTTCATAATAATAGCTAAAAATTCTTGAATGCTCCACGACATTAACTTTCATGATATTAAAATGGCCAATTAAGATTCAGCTTGTGAATAATTACTCCACTCATTATTTTCTTCGCGATCTGTTTTTCCGGGCATAGTAGTAATTATAGTTGCACAATACAGACAGACATAATAACAATTATTTTTGAAGAACATTCATTTTTTCTAATAATTGAAAAATAAAATCTGTCCTAAGCGTAGGAAATAAAAATAATAATTATAATAATCATCATCATTGTTGGAAGTTATGGATAGGATTAATAATAAATAAAGTGAAAAACAATATTATTATTATCCACATAGAGTGATTCAAATAGAATCTTTATTTTTAAAGAAAAAAAATCGTATCGAGAGAAGTGTCGTTACTTGACAGAGTTTAGTCGCAGACTAACTATAATGTTAAAAACTATTTTATTGTGAGGTCTAACCCTCTGTATTGTCCTTAGTAAAACACATGTTTTTCTTCTTAACTAAGACCGTAATATTTGGTTATACTATACAGTGTAAAATAGAGAGTCCTTTGTACAACTCAAGTACCTAAGGTCATAAAATCAAGCCTATACAGGCTTTCTTATTCTAGCTGCACAAATGTGCCTTAAATGTGTTTTTCACATATAAAAACTAATAAAAGAAAAATACGTTATTTTTCTAAAATAAATATTTCTAAGAACTAAATATCTAAAATATAAAACTAAAAGTTTGTAACTGGAATTTATTTTTGCTCAGAGAATCCAACAATCATCATCATAAGAAAAAAAGTCATTCATATGTCATCTGAAAAATCAATAAAAAAAATTATTTTCTGCAGCGTAAGATAAGTCGTAAGTATTTAATTCCAATTCAGCAATTTCTAACGTCAAATAAAAGTCACTTTTTTTTTGGTTTTAACATTTTTACCGTTTCACCTAAAAATAATAAAAAGTCAGCATTGACATGTGACAAGTACGCTATTTTTTATAAGAAGTTTGTCTGAGAATGTATGTCACGCATTCAACGCACGTATTCCATCAACTTGTGAGGAAAGCGGATCTGAAAAAACGAACGGACGACAATGTACTGAGCGTTTGGTATTTACCGTATAGCATAACATAGTAGTATAACTTGGAAGTCAGACCGTTCCGCGTCTCGAACATATACTTCCAATGGTCCTTCATTTCATTTCTTTTCTTATACCAAGCCCTAAACTCACCGGGGGTAACTTGATACATGATTGTTATGTATACACTCTTTGTTGCTATACACTTTTTGATTCCAGATAAAACAATCCGACCCTCGAATAAATCTAATAAATACCAGTAATTTTCTGTTTCTATTTTATTGATTAAAAAAAATCACTTCGGATCAAATATAAAATTCTTAACACGAAAGTCATTTGATCTTTATCAATAAAAGAACCATGGTTAATCACTAGATCTATTTAAAATTGAAATTGCTCGTGAAAAAATTGTCTGACATTGTTTGATATGCCCATGTCAGTTCTAATATAATTGAAAAATCAAACGAGCCGGCCGAAGGCCGGCGAAGTTCCATTACAATTATTCTAGTGTCTCGCACGAGAGATTACGTAGGTAGTCCCACTACTTTCATGTTACTTACCACACATTTAGAGCTTTTTTTTTTTTTATCACCTGATCTGACTATCGCGACGCTGTTCCGTTGTTATTTCCTTATTCGTTCACAGCAATTTTTTAATTTTATCCTTTGGGTTAGGGATAAAATTTATTTTATAGGAAGGGAATCTCTCGTGCGAGACACTAGAATAATTGTAATCGAACTTCGCCGGCCTTCGGCCGGCTCGTTTGATTTTTCAATTATCCTACGTGTCTCGCACTTCGAAATTACGTAGGCAGCTGTTCAGAGCTTACGCCGTATCTTGAAATTAAAAAATTTTAAATAAATGCAACATCATTTATTAATAATAATAAATTATGGAAAATATAATTATAACTCAATGAAAGAAGAAATTTTTAAATTTAAAATATTAGCTTCAAACACTTAAAAAATAAAGAATGAAAAAATTATGCAACAGATCAAAAAGCATTTAAAACTGTTGATGCGAAACTGTCAATTCTTAATCTAATTGGCTGTTGATAAAATTTTGCAAAAGTTTGAGAGTGCCCTGACCATCCAGCAACCTTCTTGATCTCCTCAATTGATACACCTTTCTCAAAAGCTTTTGAAGTAGATGCATGCCGGGTTGAATGAGCCGTAAATTTTTTATCTACTCCCAAATCCACCAAGGCTGACCGGATCCATCGACTAATTGTCTCACTCTTGACTTCTTTAAAAGGACTTTGGTATGAAATAAATAAGGAATCATTACCATTTCTCTTATCCTTAGTAACTTCTAAGTATCTATTCAAGGTGTTAGCAATACATAATTCCGGCTTTTCACGAAAAAAGGGGATTTTAAGTACCGGTTGAACTTTTCCCTTCTTTGATATTTTTATCCTGTCCGATATACGAATTTCTATTCGAGTTTCCAACGTATTAATATTTGAAATCTTAATTAAAGATAGAGTTTGTGCCCGGTGGGCAGTTCCCAAAGCCAAAAGTACGACTAATTTTTCAGTTAGCTTTTTTAAAGATAAAGAATCTAATGGAAACCACGACGACAAATTATCAAGAACCGGATCAACATCCCAGGTCTCGTCATATTTCGGTAGACTTGACCTTATTTTTGATGAACCCTTAATAAATCTGCTAATTAATTGATTACCGCCAATATTTTCGTTAGAAATCAGCGATAATGCTGCTTTGGCAGAATTGAGAGAGCTATGACCGATACCGTTGTCAAATCTCTCGGTCAGAAATTTTAGCGTTTTCTCAGATGAAACTATCAAAGGGTTCTCATCACATTGAATATTCCAATGCCACCATAATTTCAACATCCCATTGTATTGTTTGATAGTAGATTCCTCCAGTGGAGCTATCATGATGTCAACTGCTTCTTTCGGTGTCCCTCTATTTATGAGCGCTTCGCTGATAGCCTGGCGGCAACCAGGGTAAGCTTTGATGCTAGAGGATGTTGACGCGATCTACAAGGAGACACAAGCAAATTAGTACTTGCTTCTAGCCAAACCCAATCACTATCCGCCAATCTTTGAAAGGCTGGAAACCAATTCTGCGTTGGCCAATAAGGTATTATCAATACACCCTCAGCTTTATTAAAAGGAAAAGAACAGAAGGAGAGGAAGGTGATATAGATCATAAATTGGATTTGTTGTTAAACATTCATGATAATATTAAAGTGAATTACGATGCCTTCAAAATGGAAATTAAACAATTTATTAAGGATGAAGTTAAGAGAGAGGTAAGGAGGGAGATGCAGACAGCTAAAAATGATATAGTAAGTGAGGTAACTGAAGCAGTAACTATTGTAGTGCGCAAGGAAATAACGGAATTGAACCGTAGTACAGTGGCGGGAAAGGAAACTAGTGACACCTATGCGGAGCGGTTAAAGAAATCACAGATGGAGAGTATCATCGTAGAACCAAAGAAAAAGCAAGATGCGACAGTTACTGTACAGAAACTTAAGAAGAGTGTAGATGTTAGCGGACTTGGACTGGGTGCTGATAGATTGAACGAGACTAAGAATGGGAAAGTTATCATTGGATGTAAACAAAAACAAGACTCACATGTACTGGTAGAAGAGTTAAAGAAAAATATTGGAAATGAGTACAATATTAAATTGAATGATAAAAAACTTCCAAAATTGAAGATTATTGATATAGAAGAGGATATAATAAAAGAGAAAAGTGAAGAGGAAATTATAAAAATGATACAAAAACAAAATGATTTGACATTGGATCAAAACGGCAAAATGGAAATAAAAAAGAAAGCAGTTGGAATGAAAAAAGATGGATATAGGTATTATTCTAGAAGTTGACCCGAAAATTCATAAAAAATTGTTGGATTTAAACAGGATAAAACTTGGATGGAACAAATGTCGGGTAGCAGACTGTGTAAGTGCTGGGGTTATTACCATTTTGCAAAGGATTGTAAAACAGGAACTAAATGTAGAAAATGTGTTGGTGATCATAAGGAAGAGGATTGTAGCAGTGAGGTTAAGAAATGTGTCAATTGTATAAAAATGAAAGAAGTATTTAAAGTGGGTGATATTGAGGTTAATCATTGTGCAAATGACACTAATTGTGAGTACTATAAAAGAATGAGAAACAGAGCACAGAAAAGTATTAAATACTGTACTGAATAGCAAAGAATAACAAGTAGAAAGCATTCACTAGGAGGTCAGATGTTGGTGATAAACATTCAGGGTTTACTATGGCATTTGGATCAGCTGAAAAGTTTGTTAGTAAACAAAAGACCTGATATAGTATGTGTAACTGAAACACATTTGACAGCTGATGTGAGTGAACATGAATATGAGATTAGTAATTATAATAATGTTAAGATGTTTTCAAGTAACAAAAGAACGAGAGGAGTAGTTATATATGTGAGAAAGGTTGTTGAATATGATGTAATTGATACAGTGACTGATAATGTTGACTACGAATTGAATGTGGATGAGTAGCATATTATTGAAAGGTATATTTAAAAACACAATAGTAAGTAACGTGTATCATTCTCCTAATCAGAGTAATGGTATATTTATAGAAAGACTGATGCAAGAGTATGAAAATCTAAGTGAAAAAGGACAAGTTATTCTAGTGGGTGATTTTAACATAGATGTGAGTAAAGACTCTCAATATTCAAGAAAGATAATTAGAGAAATGAAAAGCGTTGGTATGTTTCAGTGGGCAAAGGAATATACTCGTGTGACATCAAACTCCAAAACACTAATTGATCTTGTTTTCTCGAATGAAAGTATAAATAATAAAGTTTTGGAGGTGCCAAGAATCTCAGATCATTTTATAGTGAAAGTGTCTCTTCCAAAAATTAAAAATAAAATAAAATGTTCAAACAGTGATGCAGATATTATTAAGTATAAAAGAGACTATAGTCAATTCAATTATGCTAATTTAGGAAATATTATACATAATCATTATGATAATTTTTGTAATAATAATATAGAGTATGAGGATGGAAGTGCGGAGGTAAAAATCCGTCTTTTAACAGATGTTATTGTTAATAGTATAGATTCAGTAGCTCCAGTAAAAGAATATGTAATTAAATATAAATAGCAGAATAGTAGATGGTTTAATAGCCATATTAAAAATTTGATAAGTATGAGGGATAATTCTTATAGAGTTTTTAAAAAGGATAATTGTGATGAAGCGTGGGAAAATTACAAAAGTCTTAGAAATACTGTAGTAAATGAAATAAGAAAGGTAAAAAAAGAATATTATGGGAATTTGATCGATTCTCAAAAAGGTAATTCAAAAAAATTGTGGAAAAATATGAAATCTATATTAGGGAATAAAAGTCAAGTAGAAACTAAATTAGAAATTGTTTTTGGTAATGAACTAATCAAAGAAGCTACAGTTATTGCTGATAAATTTAATAAGTATTTTGTTCAAAGTGTTGATGAAATTGTTAATCATATTGATAAGTATAATTATATTGTTAATGACTTTGGGTATGGTGAATCAGTGACAAAACTTGATAAGTTAATAGAAGTTGATGAGAAGGAATTGAATTCTATAATTAAAAACTTAGATAAAAGTAAAGGTAAAGGAAATGTATTGTCTTATGAAATAATCAATAAAATATGGAGTGTAGATAAAATTATAATTACAAAGTTGATTAATTGTAGTTTAGAGTCATCAGAAATCCCGAGTGAATGGAAAAACTCATTGATTCACCCGATACATAAAGTTAAGGGTACTAATAAGGCAGAAGAGTACAGACCGATTAACACCCTACCTGAATTAGAAAAGATATTAGAAGAAGTAGTTAAAAATAGATTAAGGGAATCCTTTCGCTCCAGTTGAGTCAAAACAATTGTAGTAGTCAATATACGATAAATTAAAAAAAGAAACCCATAAAAATTCCTAAAATTAAATAATAAATAGTATATGAGGCATCAATCGTTGAAATTTTGAAAATAAAAAAAAAATAGTTAAATACAAAAATTAATTTGACTCTTTCAAATCAACTGCTAGTAACCTGTCCGTGATTTGGCAACGCTGTACTTCGGTTGTTTACATTTTCATTTGCACAATATAACCTTAACCACGTTTAAGTTTTTGCAGTCAGTGTAAATAAATAAATCAGTTTGAATTTATTGAATGGTCTGAAGCTCGCGCGCTACGCAACGTTGCCAAATGTTTTGACTCCATTTTAACGTAGGTTACTTGAGAATTTTTTGTGATTTTTAAATATTAATTTCTCAATAAATATCTCGGTAACTGATATATTTTATTGCAAAAAAAGAAACCTGAATATTTCGAAAATCTAATTTTTAGTTTTTTTTTACTTCATCTAATCCATGACTGATAATATAATTCGAGAAATACTGCAAACGTCTGACTTTCTCGTAAGACTCTGAACAAATAATAACATTTAAAAATTTTATTTTTTCAAAAATTTGTCCGTTAAAGTATAATTTAAACCTCACTATTAGATAAATAAGGACCTTAACTATTAGAAAAAAATTGAATTTACTCATAATCTAATATTTTTTATTTTACATTGGCGGCGAAAGGACCTCCTTAATAGAACATCTTGATAGCAATAATATTTTAAAAGAGGAACAGTCTGACTTTAGAGTACAACATTCATGTGAAACAGCATTACAAAAAACAATGTGTGAATGGAGAAATGAGATAGATCAAGGCAATATGATAGGAGTAGTTTTTATAGATTTTAAAAGAGCATTTGAAACGATTGATAGAAATAGATTGTTAAAAAAGCTAAAAATGTATGGTGTGAGTGGTAGTGCACTGGAGTGGTTCAAATGTTACTTAAATGATAGAACTCAACAGGTAAAATTTGGTGAGGCTACCTCTGATAAGATTTCTGTTAATCACGGTGTGCCGCAAGGGTATATTTTGGAGCCCTTGCTCTTTATTTTATATATAAACGATGTTGTAGATATTGCAAAAAAATATGGCTGTCAATGCAAATTATTTGCAGATGATAAGATGTTATATTACAGCGCTAAGGATGAAACAGAAATAGAAAATGTTTTAAATAAGACACTAGAGAATCTTGGAGTGTGGCTTAATGTTAATTCACTTAAACCAAATGTTAAGAAGACTGTTTGTATGCTAGTTAGAGATAGAAGAAAAAGGAATGTTAAAAGTTTAGAATTGTTTTTGGCAGGGGAAAAGATTGTACAATGTAGTCAAACTAAATACTTAGGCGAAATGCTAGATGAATTCTTATGTTTTGATAGTCATACATATTATATTATTAAAAAAATTAATACTAGAATTAATTTGATGTACAGACTGAGTAGTTATGTAAGTGATTACACAAAAATATTAATTTACAAATCGATGATCGCTCCGTATTTTGACTATTGTTCAACTCTTTTGATTAATATTAATGAGGAATGTGTGAAAAAATTACAAAAGTGTCAGAATAAAGCGATGAGAATAATATTAAGAGTAAATAGATATACGCCAATTAGATGTATGCTAGATGCACTAAGGTTTTTGTCTGTTGAAGAAAGAATTAAATTTAATGTGTGTGTGTGTGTTTGTATATAAGATAAAAAATAACTTGTTACCAGAATATTTAAATAGAATTGTTGTTGAGAATGAACATAATTATAGTACAAGATACAAAAAGAGATTGTTTGTACAAAGAACAAGAACTGTGAGTGCTCAAAAAACAATAAATATGTATGGTTTTTCATTATTTAACAAGTAAAATATAGGCACAAAAAATGCAAGAAATTTAGTAATTTTTAAAAAATATCGATTATTATTATTATTATTATTATTATTATTATTATTATTATTATTATTATTATTATTATTATTATTATTATTATTATTATTATTATTATTATTATTATCATCTTTTTTAATTTTTCTGATAACCTTTGCCACCATTGAAAAAGGAGGAAAGGCATAAAAGAACCATTTACACCAAAAAATAGTAAAAGCATCAAAAGCCCACGCATTAGGATCTCTTTTCCAGGAACAATAGACAGGATATTTCGAATTAATTCTAGATGCAAATAAATCAATTTCTAAATTCCCAAAATTCCTTACTACTATATCAAACGCATAATCCGCAAGCTCCCACTCCGTATCAAAATTATCAATCCTAGAACACCGATCCGCTTCAACATTATCCTCCGAAGGGATATAGGATGCGTGTACCCATAGTCGACGTTCTTCACACCAATTCCAAAATTCTTGAGCCAGTTTATGTAAGTCAGCGTATCTAACACCGCCCATACGATTAATATAAGCCATAGTAGTGGTATTATCAACTCTTAGTAAAATCTCCGAATCACGCAAATCTGACGCAAAACACTTTAAAGCTAATAAAGCTGCCTTTAATTCCAAATGGTTAATATGTAGAGCTCTTTCTTCCTGATTCCACAAACCATGGGCTCCTTTCTTATCACAAAAGGCACCCCAACCTGATAAGGAAGCATCCGAAAAAATTATTCGATCATAAATATTTTTTCTAATTTTTCTACAAGGATTTAACAAAGCTTTTTTCCACCAAATCCAATCTTCTTGGATCATGCCAGGTAACTTCATAACTGCATCAAAATATCCGCCACTGCGTAAAGCTTATTTAAAGCTGTTATTTTTGCTCGCTCAAATAATCGACAGTGCAATAAACTATATTCCACTGCTTGGCAACAGGCCACTAAAGACCCCAACAATTTTACAAAATCACGAATTTTAACTTCTTTTTTATGCTGAAAAATATTAATTTGATCTAACAAAGCTTTCCTTTTATCCTCTGGCAGCTCCACCATCATTGAATGGGAATCCAAAATAAAACCTAAATATCTGCACCGCCAATCAGGTGTTAACATTGATTTTTTCCTGTTAACAATAAAGCCCAGACGCTCTAGAAGATCAATGGTCACTCTGAGATTCTCAGCGTATTCTTCAAAGGTACTCCCGAGACAAAGAAAATCATCAAGATATAAAACTGAATAAAAACCTCTTAAACGAAGAAAACTAATCACTGGTTTCATAAGTTTAGTGAAAACATGCGGACTTGAACTCAAACCAAAAGGCAAACAAACAAATTCAAAAATTTGTTCCTTAAAAATAAACCTTAAGAATTTTCTATGGCTCTGCCATACAGGAACTAAAAAATATGCATCTTTGAGATCAATCGTACCCATGAACCAGTCCAGCTCCAAAAGGTTACACGCAGACCTCAAATCCTCGAGCTTAAAATGCTCAGTTTGAATAAAAAGATTCAATCCTTTCAAATTTAAAATAAATCTTTGTTTACTATCTGATTTGGGAACTAGAAAGAAAGGAGATAAAAATTGATCCTCAATAGGCTCTTCTCGAATAATCACCTTAATTTCCAGAAGTCTATCAATTTCCATTTTAATATACGGAGATTCCTGCTCCGACCAGGATCTAGCTGGTGGTGGAGAATCCTGAGATGGAGTAGAAATAAAAGGTATTTTATACCCCCTAACGCATTGAATAACAAATTTGTCGTTCGTAATTGTCTTCCAGACCTTCCAAAATTGGTTTAAACGACCGGCAAGTTTACTTACTTCATCTTTGGAATTTAAGGTGTTTGATTCCGATGACGAATCTGGTGATATTGACTCGACTTCGGGTAAGCTGGTTGGTTTGGTTGGTTCTTGAAAGTTGGCGGTTTCTTTGAAAGATGATTTTTGTAGCTCGTCTGAGTAACCGCCTTCTGTTGACTCGACGAGCTCCGAAAGTTTAAAGACGACTGTGCCGAAAAATTTTTCTTGGGTAGAGAAGATTTCATTTCTTCGCCTACTTTTCCCATTGCCTTAACTTCCTTGACTTTTTCAGCCAACTTATCTCCAAAAAGATAGTTATCAGTAACGCGCTTTTCTAGAGTTGAGGCCCACTGCTTTGAAAGATTAGGAAGAATACAAGCCTTACGCGCAACTGTCTGCGAACGATGTATTTCAATGAGCATTTTAGATGCAGCCCAGATATTATCCAATCTTTTCACATCTTCAGGAGCCTTAGACGTCGCAAGAGACTCAATAACTGGAGAAAGAGCTGACAATGCCGAACCCGCAAGCTTCTGCGTCCAGCAAAAATAGGTATCTCTCTTTACCGCGGACTCCTTCAGACTTCCCGATACTTCGTCGTTGAGAATAGGAGGCTCTAGTGAAAACTTCCCAGTTCTCGGGTATTTTTTTAATAACAATTCTTTATCCTCCTTTTTAAGACCGTCTGTAATATATTTTTTCCAACGGTTTGTTACACTCGAGTGTAAAACTAACTGAGGTTCATCAGCAGCCGGCTCAGAACCCATAATCTCAAGAACAGTATCATCGAGGGCCCACGGAATATCCTCAGAACTCTTCTCCTTAACTTCTACCTGAGTAGAATCCGTAGTTTTGGCTGTAGGAGCAGAATTAGCAGTAATATTTGGAGGTGGATCAAGTTCAATAACAGGAACTTCCGTATTTTTCTCCGATTCTTTCTTCGAAGGATTTTCCTGAGATGTTGAATCAGTATTATTAGAAGAATCATTATCCACTCTACCAGAGTCTGTTTCCTCAGATGAGTCTGCAACCTTCGCATCTGGATCACCCGGAGGAACAAGTCCAGAATCATCTATGGAATTACAAAAAATACATGGTCTTAGCCTTGAAAAACTCAGTGATACTGAATTTTTTTTTTTTTTAATACTTTCTCTCATGTTTATATTAAACCTCTCAGGTAAAATCAAAATATTTTGCACAAAAAATTTTTCATACCTCTCGGGTAAAACAATAAAATTTGAATGACTGTCACATAGACAAAAAAAAAATTTAAAAGAGAGAGAAAGAAATAAATAATTATTTAATTTATACCTCTCGGGCTTGTCATATAATTATGCATCTCGTGCTTAATTAATGATTAAAGCCTCCCGGACTTAATCAATATTGACAAAATAAAAATTACCTCCAGGACTTTGGATAGGATCTATAAACTCTTCATTTGTTCCCTTTGATGAAAATAAATCTCGAAGCGATGAAATACTCGCAAAGATATCATCCACTCTTTCTTCGACCTTCTTCAATCTTTTTGAATATCTTTCTTCACTAGATCTTTCACGACTCCTCGAACGTTTCTTATGCCCCATAATAACCCAAAATTAAAATAAACTCAATAAATTAAGTAAAATTACACAATTATGCTCAAACGTGTGGTTTGTTTGACACAAAAGAAATGAATGAGGAAATAACAACGGAACAGCGTCGCGATAGTCAGATCAGGTGATAAAAAAAAAAAAGCTCTGAATGTGTGGTAAGTAACATGAAAGTAGTGGGACTACCTACGTAATCTCGAAGTGCGAGACACGTAGGATAATCATGAATGCCTATATATAGTTTTTCAACAAGAAAGTCAAGTTTTAATTCTTAAGTTCTAGAATAGAAATTATTTTTGACTTCCCGCTTAGGAAATTGAAAATTTTCGAAAATCGGGAAGTTATTGGTTTTACTCCGTTTTTGTAAAGTCGAGTTTTCATGAGATCTCGACGTTTTGAGGTCCTAGGAAGCTTTCCTGACAATTTTTACGATGGTGTCTCTATGCCTGTATGTATTTTCGTGTATGTGTGTGTAAATGTATCTAAACCTCTCAATTTTGATTGACTTGACCGATTCAATTGTGTTTGGCGCCATTCGAAAGGATTCGACCACTTCTATCAGATTTTTGAGCTCGGAGAACTCAAAAACAAAATAAGTACCATTTTGAGCATTTAAGTATGGAATTAGCAAGAAGTTGCAGGGGTGGCCGTGAAGGTCAACGGTTTCCCTAATTTTTTTTAATGTTTTTTCCTAAAAGTATATTATAAATCTCTAGAACAAAATTAAAATATATAAAAATAAATAATACTTACAATTAATATAAGTTAAGTCTATGAGGACAAAAATAAAAAAATATATAATTCATATTTACATTCTGTGTATTATTTGTGTATTGCACTTCATATCAATAAAATATTTTGAAAACGAAAAAAAAAAATTTGTTACCCTCCTAAGGAGTTTATTTCACATTAGTTCTTAGTTTAATCAATTACTAGACCGATATTGATTAATAAAAATGTGGATCAATGAAGTCATTACTAAAAAAAAATAACAATTGAAGAATGATGAAATATTTTTTTTATTTTTATATGCAGTCCATAATATTTCAATATATGACTAGATCAGACCATACATACCCATATCAAGCTGTATATAGCCATATCAGAAAATTTTTTCCCGGGTGAATCGACTATAAAGCGTCTATTTGAGTTAAGAAGTTAAAAGTGGACGCATTCCAAGTGATTTTGACCAAGAAACTATATAAGTAGGCTTATATTCAATCAAAGTCACTTACCGGCAGATGTCCAAGACGATAACCCATAATCTTTAGTAAATGATCGTGAATTGTAGCTCATAGTAATTGAAAAAGTTGGTCGGACAATTGTTATCTGGAGCATCTATCTCATTACTAACTACCCGTGTACATGTTTTGACACGGGGAATTAATTTTATGACCTGTCATATGAATGAATAATATCCCGAGATAAATTTCCTGTACGAGGGCCTCGAACGAAGAGGTGGAATTTAGTGCAGACATGTCAGATCAAGAGATAGTTCCTTCTACAACCGAATCCTAGTAAGCAGCTCATTTAGATCCTAGTGAACTGATGTTTAGAGTAAACGCTGACCTGCTCTACTGGATTGAGCTGAGGATTATACATTCAAATAGCGTGAGCTGGACAATCTATGCTTAGATTCATCGATCGTAGCATTTAGCACATTGATGTTGCAGTCGATAACTTTAAGATCAATTAAGCTTTGCTTCAAGGATGGATGTTTCAGCTGCAATACAGTAATCTTAATCTCAAATAAATTGAATTTAAGAGCTGCCATTGTACGTCATGACGATTTGATCTGATACGATAACCAATCTTAGTTATTTTTCCCGATTATTAAGAAATGTATTCTTAGAAAAAGTACTTGATTCAAGAAAAAATCATCTTGTTAAAATTTACATTTTATTTTGAGATATTTAGTTAAAATAAATTCAAGAAATATATAAATTAAATCAAAAAAATAAAAATAAAAAAAAACGTTTTCTTCATCCATGAATTTTACGGATTCAACGAATCACTTTACTATTTTCAAAAAAGATAAACTACTATTCATCCAATAATTTCTTTCTCGAAGATTAAGACACACGGTCACATTTATTCAATATATTACCGACTTGTTCCAACAATACCAATAATGCTCGGATTTCTATTATTTTTTATTTTAGGAAAAATCAATTACAAATAGCAAATGGTTACAAGTAAGAAAAAAATTAGGAAAACGGGTGACCCTAAAGGCCATCTGTGCAACTTCCCGCTAACTCCATACCTAAACGCTCAACATTTCACTTATATTGTTTTTGAGCTCTTCTAGCTCAAAAGTACAATCTCTGTGTTATTTTGAGCTCTCCGAGCTTAAAGAGATAGCTTTTTTATGCTTTTGAGCTCTTCGAGCTCAAAAGTCTGATAGAAGTTTGATAAAACACTATTTTTTGAATTTTCAAACCGCAATAACTTTTAATAGAATGAACCGATTTTTACGCGATTGGTGGCATTCGACGCAGTTTTTGAAACCTCATAACGGATCTTTAAATTTAAATCGATCGAACGAAGGATTATGAAGTAATTCCACAAAAACACTTTTTTCGGTTTTCTTTCGACAACAATAACTCACGAACGAATCAACCGATTTTGACCGAACTGGCGGCGATCGACGTGGTTTTTTTATGTTAAGAGCTGATTAGTTTTTGAAATCGATCGGCAGAGCCATTTGAAACTTATTCCAAAAAAACCACATTTGAAAAAATTTTTTCTTGTAGTTTTTGTGAGATTTCTCAAAATCTACCTGTCCGAATCGGTCCAAAGTGTATCCAAAATCTAAGTTTTGTCAAGCCCTTTCGAATGGCACCAACCACGATGAAATCGGTCGAGCCGTTCAAAAGGTATAAAAGGGTCACATACATACACACACACAGACACACACATACAGACATACGGACATCATCGCGAAAACATTCAGGGAAGCTTTCTAGGACTTCAAAACGTCGAGATCTGATGAGAACTCGATTTTCGAAAAACGGGGTAAAACTAATAATTTCTCGGCTTTTGAAAATTTTCAATTTTCTTAGTGGGAAGTTAAAAATTTTTCGTCATACTCGTGCAGTAAGTTCACTTTTCGAGCACTGGGTGGCGTCCACAAAAACACTTTTTTCTAAAAACTCTACTTCACCAGGGTTTTTTAGTCCTAGGCTGGAAAAGTTTACCACCCTTTCTTCTTCTGTACTGATTTGGATACAAATAGATGGAAATTACAAGGGACTGTAAAAAAAGCCACATTCTAACTTATCAACCGACGATTTTGAGTAGCATCAATTTAATTATTATTGAGTTGTTGTAATTTTCTCTCTACTTGCAGTTTGTTGCGAGAAAGACCGAATGTTAGTAGAATATCAACGATACCAATTCACTTATAATAAACACACTGTACCTAGATTATCATTGTGCTTTCAATAGAAATATTGTGAGAGTTTTATTAAGAAATTATGCATAATAACTACATGTGGAGATTTGATTGAAATGTAAACATATAATTAGTAGGTTTGTGTCCCACCCAAATTGAACTTTCCAAGCGATAATGACGAAAACTATTGTACGTCATTCAGCCGCTCAGTTGTGGTGATTCCGACAATGTCGATTTTACGATATTCGCTTTAAAGTTTGTGATAACTTTGACGTCCGGGGCGAAACACGCCACAAACCTTAAGCTTATATCGCAACATCGACGTTGTCGGGAAAATTGTCGCTTTGCGGCCTTATGTCGTAAATTACTATTTTAATTGTAAAATACTTTAAAAAATCGTTTTTATCGAAAGATAAATTTGATTTTGCCGGAATTTAACGCAGTTTTTCGAGCACTAGAATTCAAATTTTCGCGCGCAAGCGCGCGCTTGACTATAGAATTTGCATATATTTTCATGCTTATGATATATTCGACCAATCACGTTACGAATAGTTTGATGCCACATACATTTCATCTCAATTTTATTATAGGATAACAAAAGTTTACTGGATCTTAAGTCAATTTTTTCCTAGAAATTTTTGAATGACTATGACTTTTGAACGCGTCATTCGATTTTTGTTTGCTTGACGGTAGTCAACTAAAAATAAGACCTTAAAATGTGGAAATCTGATGAAAACTTGCATTTTCAAAATCAGTCTGAAATCAATAACTTCCTACTAAAATAAATAATACATATACGAAAGTAGTTCATTTATCGAAGTTCAATATTGAAAACTTTATACAAAGATGTTGTATATTTTCATGTATCATTAATATATTTTTTGATGTAAATATTTATTCTAAAGGGTTTATTAAAAACCTTTTCCTTAAGCTATTTATTTGATTGCTTGAAGTTAACTTCAGTATAATTTGAAGTTAGTGTCGGTATTGTTTCTACTTTGATGCAGGCTTCGCTAAAATTTCCAATGAAGTCACACTGACGACAATCAAATGTCTTGATATATTAGATTTAGAATTTGAATGGCTCACTTGAAACGTATGTATAGATATCTATCTATCTATCTACAAGTACAATATGCAATATACTTGGGCGGTGATGATTGAACGCGGTGGTTAGTGCCAAGTCTTGTTAATGGCATTACTTGAAATAAACTCAGTACCTTATCGCGTGAAACTCTCGTTGGCGATGACAACGAAGACTTGTCGAGTGAGACATTTGTCTTGCAGAGCACAGAGCATTGGATGTATAGTTATAGGTATACATAAGATGGCAGGTTTACTCCTCTCGAATGAGAACTGCACGTGACGTGTAACGTAATGCCAATAACTCACATTCACGTGGTGCACACTTGAAGAGCTTGAGGAGTACAGAACTTACCCTCTACTCGCGCGCGCGAGTGGTGAGTGGTCCTAGAGTTGGCTTCTGGCACTGCCACCTACATGACAACCGACGGACGACGATAGAAGACAGAATAAGACGTACTTTCTCTTCTCTCTATATTGTACACGTATATTGAACACGTGTGTGAAGGTATGTATG